TACAAGTGGTAAAACCTTTATTAATACATGACATTTGTAGACATTGTACTCTGTTGAGACCTGGTGCAAAACCTTTCTCTCTCTCTGCAGCCCTGTAACATCATCCAAGTTCTGCCAGGACTCTGCCATCTCAATTTCTCTTTTTTACAACAACGGGGCTGAACCTTGCAATTGTCATGAGGCTGGTGCGATTTCAAGCCAGTGTGAGCCATTTGGGGGCCAGTGTGCGTGCAGGTCCAATGTCATTGGCCGAGAATGTTCCCACTGTGCCACTGGATATTGGGGCTTCCCCAACTGCCGACGTGAGTCTCTCAATTTATGGGGTGGGAGAGAAGTAGGGAGAGATCATTTGCGTGACAGGCAACATTTTGCTCATAATTCAAGGTCATCATTTTATTCCTATCTGCCAAGAAAAATTTGGGATTCACTTCACCTACTCCATAAATAAATTGAAGGTAGAGCGCTGGGTTATTAGTTAGCTTACCAGCTTCTATTTTAGTGGAGCTTCTAAACAGACATTTTCTTCCGTGGGATTCTTTTAGCAAGATATCCAAGACAGTAAATTGGATTGAAAAATCAGTGTGAAATTACCAGAAGGATGCATGAGTGAGAAGTGGCTGAAAATTAGGGTTCCTTTTACTAATGCGCAAGACAAAATCCACATAGATTTCGAATTTCAGCACAGTGTATTTGTGAATACATTCATAATTCTGAATAAGAATTTATTGAAACCCTCATTCCTGGAACAATACAATTGAATTTACAATGACCCAGCTGTCTGTATTATATATTTGGTGCATTCCAAGTTTTGGAACAGGAACCATTTGTAGTTTAAATAGCAGCAGTTGGGGTACAAATATAGAAAGACAAATTAGTCACTACAACTTCCTTCTTTGTGTTCAGCACCATTCTGTTGTTTCCTTGCAACTTTTAGAATGGACATCCTGCCTTGCTTCTCAACAGAAAAAGTACAGTTTTTCTTAATGTTAGGAACCTTGAGTAAAGAGACATCCTATTTGTTTCTGCTTAAGCTGATTTAGTATATAAGGAGGAGAGGAGTTCATTCAACCCCCTGTTTTTTTCTTAAGTTACTAGATGGGAGATCTTTATAGACATGTAGGATCCTTCTAGCTTAACAGTTACGAAGATGCCTTTCCAAAATGTGTGAACCATGTGTGACATGTTGAATTTGTAGAGCCAAATGCAGCTAACCCATTTGTGGGATATCACTGAAAGTGCCTTGCAGATTCAAACATACTCTAGAACCCAGTAGTCAGATGGATGTTCTAGGCCAGTGGTTCTTGAACTGTTTGCCCCAATGACCCCTTTTCCCAGTCTCAAATAATGTCATTACCCCTGCAAAACTATCTCTGTTTACACCAGTGTCTTGGCGGTGGCCATCCCACACTGGAACCTCGACTCACAAACAAGCAATTATAAATTGCTTCATTAACCCCAGGATATGCCCAAGGGGTAATTACCCCCAGTTTAAGAATGATTGTTCTAGGCTGATGATGTGTTTGTATGCATGGGTTCTCTTTATGATACATACCTGATTTCACTCTTAGCTTGTGACTGTGGACTTCGCCTGTGTGATGAACTGACGGGACAGTGCATCTGCCCACCGCGCACCATTAGACCAGAGTGTGTGGTCTGTGAGCCCCAAACCTTTGGCTGTCACCCCCTGGTGGGCTGCGAGGACTGCAATTGTTCTAGTTCTGGGATCCAAGATCAGACTGAACCAGGATGTAATATAGAGAGTGGACAATGCCAGTAAGTGGTGATAATGATATGAACCCTGTTTGCCTAAATCCTAGAGCACCATCCTGCATTGGTCTACGTTTTACAAATAAAACAGCTGTAGACAGTTGATACCTTTTTCTTCTCAGCTCAACTGAAGTTAAGAACAGCTCAAATTTTGGGCAACTTTGATGGTCACCATCCAATGCACTGCAGAAGAATGTAAACTCTTAAACCCGGACGTATTGTGTTATCCTTTTTTACTCCCTGTTTCCCTTAAGTTCTCAGATTCTTAAAGGCCTTACCTTTTCATACCTATAACAAGTTGGCTAGATGATTCTAAGACACCAGCTTTCCATCTCCCAAACGTGGCTCTGATGATCAATAATGATATACATAATGCTGAATTTGCATTTAGAAATTATGCTTTGTTGATTCTGAGCACTTCTGTTTTGTTAATATAATAAGGTAGGGAAAGCATGTGGAGCGTGACTTCTGGGATTCTTCTCAACCCCAGGTGGGGACATATTCCCACACCCATTGCCAACTGTAACCATAGGAGGGAGTTTGTTTTTCTTCTGTGCAAAAAACAAAACAAAACAAAAATAATAATAATATGTTGCAGCTGTGTGTTTCTGCTCTCCCTTGTGTCACATCTGTGTGTGTATGGGTGCACTAGGAAGCACTGGTACAGGTGAGCTGCAGATGTTCTGCTCTGGATCAGATGACCAGGAGGGAAAAGGAAGAGAAGCCTAGAATGGAGCAGCTGACAACATTCCAAGGCTCTACCCAACCACCTTTCCAAAGGGATTTTGGGCTGGGTGGGATTTTTTTCTCCATGTCCCCCAGTCTGATCCAGTCAATTTTTCATTCACCACCTTCTCTCCAAACACCAAACTTTGATCTATTGCATTCTGTATTTAGAAAGTCTCTATGATGAATAGAGAGTTCTAAAGCCCTTTCTATATTTTCCCAACTTTTTATTGGGTTGGAAAGAATTAAAAAGCCAAAGACTAATGCGCATTCAACATTGTCTCTCACCTTTCAAGCTGGACTGCAGAATTCCTTTATTATTATTGTTATTTTTTTAATCAGAGAAAAATGCCATCCTTTTCTGGAGCAAAGTATGTATACCTTTTGTTGCTGGAGATTCATTACAGGAGCTGAATTAATCCAGTACTTTTCCTAAAATTTCAGTAAGTCATAGAAGCAGCTCTGGAGGAAATATGAAAATTGATGGATTTGAAAGAAAATAACCTCATTCTGGATCTTTCTGAATTTTTATAATATACCCCTTAAATGAAATATAGTAT